GTTTGCGAGTCAGGTGGAAGTGGCGATCACCACCAACTCCTGGAGGAGCGTGACCCAGTCGGAAGCCCAGCTCCAAACGCTAGCGGTCTCCTGGTTCTCTCCCTACTTCGGCCCTCTCGGCCTTCCCAGGTGTGTGATGAAAGTCCCCGGCTACGGCGGCACCGGCTTCCTGGCGAAGGAGTTGGTCCAGGACAGAATGCCGTGAGCTACTCCAAGATGCAATATTAGGGCCAGCATCCATGAACATGTGGGCTGTGAATTTTGAAGCGTGGCCCTGCATCCGGGCTGCACATCTCTGCAGCACAGACGCGTGCGCACGCAGAGCTCCTTCTCTTCAAGCTCGCAACTGCCCAGTTGCTGAATGCTGCTGCTCAGCAGTGAGAGTGGACTGCGTGCAGCGACTGTGCAGGACCTGCTCCATACGCCTCTCTTCGAGTTCTGGAGCTCTCATCATCATAGGTGGCTGAGCAGCTGCGTGGACCTGAACAGCCGCGGTCTCAGCCCGATCTGCCATCGGATCCATGGGACACGGTTTCACAGCGCGCTCTGCCTAGGCTGGTGCGCTGTGGGCCCTGGAGCCCGCAGGGGCTTGAACCGCTTGCATGGTCGAAGGGCATCTTGGGTGATCTTTAGGTGTTTGGTTGCTGTTGCTGTGTTTGCACGCTATCTCGCAGGGGCCGGGGCACTCTGAGTCCATCTGAGGTGAACTGGAACGCCTACTGCGACGATGACCGCGTTGCTCACCAGCCCCTGGCTTGACAGCTCTTTCTATTCGCCGTCCGCTTTGGTCGAAATGGTGCTCCTGTCTGAGTGTGTCTGAGGAGTGCGTGCAAGCGTGAGCGGGTGGGTGGCCGCGCGGGCGGGCTCGCAGGTGGGTGGGTGTCTGTGTCCGAGTGTCTCTCTGTGCGTGTGTGTGTGTGTGTGTGCGGTTTGAATGTGTCTGTGCGTGTGTGTCTCTGAGTGTCTCTGAGTGTGTCTGTGTGTGTGTGTGAGTCTGCGTTTGTTTGTCTGTCTGTCTGTCTCTCTGGCTCTGTCTCTGTCTGCCTCTCCGTCTGTCTGTGTCTGTCTGTCTGTCTGTCTGTCTGTCTGTCTGTCTGTCTGTCTGTCTGTCTGTCTGTCTGTCGGTCTGCCTGTCCGTCGGTCGGTCTGTCTGTCCGACGGTTTGTCTGTGTGTCTGTCTCTGTGTCTGTCCTTCTTCCTGTGTGCGGGTGTGGGTGGGTGTGTGGAGCATGGTAGCTGATGGTAGTAGTAGTAGTAGTAGTAGTAGTAGTAGCAGCAGCAGCGCATTCAAAGCTGTGTCTCTCGCGCGAGCGAAGCTCTTCCGATGAGCTTGAGATTCGTCGTCAGCTGAGTCTGGTTCTGAGGTTCCTCCGCGAGCTTCGACAGGTCTTCGGGGAGAGGGACAAGTACTGGCACGGCTCCCTGGAGGGTCGCCCCGTCTTCCAGCTCGAGCTCCATGACGTCCCTTTCCCTGAAACGACTTCGGGGGTCTCCAGCCTCAGCCAGATCTGTTGAGATGTGAAGATGCTGAGGTTCAGTTCCAGCTGTGCGAGCTGGCCACCTTGATGCAACAACTGTGGTCATGCACTTTATCATGGTGTTGTTGACTGTTGCCGGTGACGGAGACAGTGTTCTTGCTCGTCATGTTTAATGGTGTCGTGTTTCGTGCTGTTTTTAGCCAGTGGTGGTAGTGACAGTGGAGGTGGCGGCGGTGAAGGCGGTGGCGTTGGCGGTGGTGGTGGTGGTGGTGCTCACCGACAACGTCATCATTACCACCACCACCAACAACAGCATCACCAGCGCATCACAACAACCAACAACAACGACGACGACAGCAACACCAGCAACACCAACACCGACACCAACAACAGGATCTAGAAACATAACCAGAACAGTAACAATAGCAAGAGCAATCACAGCAGCAGCAGCAGCAGCAGCAGCAGCAGCAGCAGCAGCAGCAGCAGCAGCAACAACTACAACGACAGCAACGGCAAGAGCAAGAGCAAGATCGATAACAAGAACAACTACACCAGCACCACGACCAACACCACCACCCCCACCATCAACAACGACAACGACGACGACACCAGCAGCACCAGCAGCACCAGCAGCAGCAGCAGCCGCGGCGGCGCAGCGGCGGCACCGGCAACCGCAACCGCAGCAACAACAACAACAACAACAACAACAACAACAACAAGAACAACAACCACTGAAACAGGCAAAACACATCGGCAACAGCAACACCAACAACAGCAATCAGTGGGCCCAGGATAAGTACGAGCGGGAGAAGAAGAAGCCTGGCCAGGTGCGACCCTATCGGCCGAGTTTCAACGCCATTGCGGAGCCGGAAGCGGCAGCCGAGGCAGGGAGCAATCCCTTTCTGCTTGATGCGGAGTTTGCTTTAGGACCGACCTTAGGAGTTCTAATTAGTCATTTCGGGGTTTTCGGGGTGTTCGCAGACCCACGGCCTCCGAGGAAAGGCCGGAGCCCGCGCTGCCCGAGGCGGGTCCTCGTCCTGGTCCGGAGAAAAGTGGGCGTCGAACATCGAAGCCCTCTTTGGGGGACGAGATTTCTCCAGAAGACACGCAGAATGAAAAGAAGATCAATGCTGCCTTCGACTTCTTGTTCGCTGAGCAAGATCGCAATGCGACCCGGCTTCACCGACTTTGGCAATAGGATGCAGTTCCACATCACCGCCTTGTTCACTTCAAAGCATCTGAAGAAGTGCCCTTTCTTTTCCCTCGCCCGAGTCTCACATTGGTTGCACCCACAAGCGAATGGACACCTACGGCAAACACTGATCGCGTTCGTTGCGTCCTTTGTGTTGTACCGTACCAGTTCCGGAAAAATGCACACATCTCTAGCTAGTTGGATTGATACATGGATATAGATTAGCTTGGATAAGTTAGCTAGCTGGGTAGACAGATAGATACATAGATACATGGCATGGATAGATAGATGGATAGATAGATAGATAGATAGAAAAGAAAGCACACAGACACATGGACAGACCAGACAGGTAGACAGATAGGTAAGTCGATAGTAGAAAGACGGATAGGCAGACAGGCAGGTCGTCACAATGGCATGTACACGCCCACGCCCATCTTTTTGGAGCGCGTGTTGTAGCGTTATATTGCGTTGGCTTGGTCGCTTGGTTTTGTGTAGCTTTGTGCTGCAGAGAGGGAGGGCACACCGCGGAGTAACTGAGCGGGGCTCGGAAGAGCAAAGCAGTTTGCTCGCAGCGCCAGTGGCCGGACTCGTTCGGCTTGGTTACATGGGGGGCAGAAGACGGCGGGGATTCGACGTACATCAGCTTAGACTTTTTATGGCTGACATGCTGGAGAGCAGTCCTTTGGTGGCCATGTTGGCTGTTTCAGATCGCTTTGGCCCGGGCATCTCAGGCAGCGAAGATTTCAAAGGAGATGGGCGATGCTGCTGCGACTGGTGAGCCTGATGTAGGGAGCAAGACTGACTAGGCCGTCACTAGGCCGTCAAGGTCATGCCACGGCCCTGAGACTTCGACAGCCGCCATGCGCGGCTGCTGCTTGAGAAGCCAGGATGCCGCGGGTTCCACACCCAGACTTCCCCTATTAGACCTGAGCCCAAACAGCTCTCAGAGTCTCAGAGCAGTGTTCCATTGCTTGGGCTTCTGCTTCGGTGAACCGGGGCCGCTCTGGAGCTGAGATCCGGAGCGCCTGAGCCCTGCCTGCCTGTACAGAGTTCAACGGAAACAAAGCGGCTCGCAACGTGGCAGAGAGGCGGGGGGGAGAGGCGCGAGAGGCGAGCTTTGCGTCGTGCTGGTCTTCGGAGCGGCGAGCATCGCCAGGAGGGCAAGTGGATCGTCTCGCTTCCAGGCTCCCGACGTCACACCGACGGCCTGGGCCACTCAGTCTCGTCTCGATCTGAGCGCGGAGAAGTCTGAATTGGGTCAAATTTAGATCGCAACCTTTCGCTTCAACTGTCAACAGTCACAGAGAGGGGCAAGGTGGGGCCTTTGTTCTTGCATTTTTCGAGGTTTTCAGGGTTGTGAGCACGCTTCAACCAGATTCGTATGAGGCGTGCGGGGGCGAACCCTCTGAGCATGGCGCAGCACGTCAAGCAGCTGTGCAAAATACTGCTACCGTGCGGCTGAGGAGTGGTTTTTGCATGCAGCAGGCTGTCACCCAAGATCCCAAGAGCAGTGCTCCGCCGGCCTGTCATGTCGACTCGAGTACAGGCAGTATAGGCTTGGTCGAGTGGAGTATGAGGGCCAGTCTGGCACAGCATCAAGACTGACTTGAAGCACAGATGACTCAACGACCTTCGAACACATTTTTGCTCTCCACCAGCAGCCACATTGAAAGCAAGAGTCGGAGCACTGGCGCCGTTGACTTAGTCCAAGTGGTAGAAGATCAACCTCCATTCCTAACCCTAGTCTGTAGAGACCGCGTGCTGTGCTCCTGCTGATGTGGATCCTTCCCCTTTGCCGTCATCATGCCGGCAAAGAGCGAGCCGAAAGACATGCCAAAGGCAGCCTCTGAACACAGCAACTCGTAGCGGCGTAGCGTCTCGTGCTTTCTCCAAGTGCCCTCAGCCTCATCCTCCGACAGTAAGGTTGGAAGTATGGGCCCCTAAGGCCCTAATATGGACCCTTATGCCTTGGACCCTTATGCCTTTCTAGGGACCCTCAAGGGCACCTATAGGGCAACTAGTAGAGGGTATAAGGATCCCAGGGTTAAGGGCCCATGGTTTCAAGCTTAGACAGGCGGATCCTCAAGTGGACGCCAAGAGACAGGCCGGGTAACCCCAAGATTCCGAAAGAGAGAAGGGCCTGCGAAGGGCCTGCGAAACAGAAGCCCAGGCTTCGAGCTCCTCCCGGCCCGGGCCCGGGCCCGGCGAGGCCTCGACTTTGACACACACGGTAGTAACCTATGGATACCTGGTAACCAGCTTGTTGTGGTACTCGTGAGGGGCAAGGGCAACATCAATATGATGCGGCGCACGCGCAGGCAGAAGTCCCGATGAGCAACTATGCCTTCTTCGTCAAGTGCGCAGGGTTTGGCACGTCCACTCTCTGGGCATCGCATCGTTCTCGTCTCGAGGTACACATACTCAAACGAGTGCGCTCTGCTTGCCTACAACTTTCATGAGCTCGTCTCAAAGCTCGGGATCTTTGAGATCTTCGCTTACAGGCCGGCAAAGCTCCTAGCCGCTCCTAGCCCGGGCTCTTGTCTCCTTGCAGGCACGACCATCGCCTCATCAGCGTCACGCTCGCGTATATCCTATACCGCTACCAGGCCATACCTCACGTGGCAGATGACGTCTCCGCGGGCTCAATGCCGTGAGTCAAAGCCTTCGTATTGTTGCATGGTCAGTGACATGCTGCAGACACTGCAGGTGCACCACTGTGACATGGCCTTGGATCTAGCGCTAACGCTCGTGTACCTGGAGGCCAAAGATATCAAAGTCCGAAGGCGTTTTGATGTTTTTGGTGACCGTGGCTTCCAGGATCTCAGCTGCCACGTGGAGGCAAAGCCGGAGCTGCGTGAGCCGAGTGCCAAGAGCGGCGGTTTGCCATGTCGCTTTGTTGCGTCACGGGCACTGAGGCGATGCCGAGATGCTTTCAATCTGATCTGTGCCTCGGCTGTTCGAAGCGACCCCCCGAGGCTGCAGTTCATTTTTTCCTTAGCGGCTTGGGCTTTTTGAGGTTACATGGCGTTTCTTGCGCACGCCTTCAACTCGGACCGACCGATACGACTCGCCGACTGGCCGCACCCTCGGCTACAAAAGAGCTCCGTCTCTTCCCCAGGGTGCCCAAGCATCACAACTGCAAAAGTCATCAGCCTCGGTGGGAGCCTAGCCTGTGATGATGACAACGAGGATGACGATGATGATGAGGATGATCTTCTCCTGTGTCGTCTTCCTTTTTCGTTGTCCTGGCTGGCTGACGCAGGCACAGTTGAGATTATGTTTATGTTGCCTGCCTGTTTCGGTTTGGTGTTGGCCTGGTTGCTTCCTTTGTCTGACCTTCGAAGGGAGGGAGCGAGGGGGCCGCCGACCCTGCAGCCTAAAGTGCTGTTGCGCTGGAACGAAAACTGTCACCTCGAGACTCTGCACAGGAGGGGGGGAGAGGAAGCAAACAGCGGAAGTCAGACCTGCCCTGCGAGTGAAGTAAAAACATGATACTGCCAACATAAGTGATGTATGATGTATACTTGGACGTGATCTTGCATCTTGCATCTGAGTTGAAAGCTCAGAAGCTGACGTTGAATGCTGCAATACACAGCAGAAGGTTCAGGCAACAACACTAGGTCCAGCAAAGCACAAAGCCCTCGGCACAGGGAGGCAAAGACAAAGGGGAGCTCCAAAAGGACAGTCTAGAGGAGTGGCCCCGGCACCGCAGTGAACAACAAGATGCTCAGCGCCTCGGCGGGTGCAGAACCCTTCAGGGGCGCGTGCTGGTCTATCTCAGAGTCTCAGAAGGACAGCAGGGCTCTGGCAGCTCGCAGCGGCGACCCAAGCAGAACTCGAAGCGAAGCTGACGAATCATGGAGAAGGCTTTTGGGGACCATCTTCACGGCTGGCTCAATTCCAAAGCCGTCGCAACTAGGCCGACAACGACAGAGACTAAGACTCTCGGAACCTCTCATTATTGACCTGACATGCCTTTCTGAAAAATCCTTTTGAAACGCGGCTCTGGCTTGCAAGTCTTCCGACCTCTTTGCATGTGCGGCGTTGCGGCGTGTACAGCGTCTCTTTGAGGTTCAAAGAGATCGGCTGGCGATCCTTCAAGAATTGCCGGGACCTGAAGCTGAAGCTGAGACTGAGACGGATCTTGAGGTGGCATGGGCAAAACGTGGAACTGCAGCAGGTCACCAACTGAATGCCTACGTCTTCTTCCTCTTTTCCCAAGTGCCTCCCCCAGAGACTCAGAGACCCACCGGCTCTTCGCAGGCCCTTGGCTGCTGCGCCCAGGTCCGGGGATTCAAACTTCGGGTGAACGAAAGCCAGGTGAAGAGGCGATGCAAGCAAAGTGCAAGTGCAAGAGACTTCAGACATCCTTCGCTTGCTGCCGTCACCTGCCCGACTCGCGAGGTACATCCAAAAGCTTTGCAGTGTACCAAGTCAGGCAGCTCAGACGGCCTCCTAACGAGCAGGCGCCAAGCGGATGCTCGGCCTTGGACGCGTTTCGATGATGTCGCGTGCCAAAACGCGGGCCGGGGACGGAGAGCAGAGCACGGCTGGGAAAGAGCGCAGCTTGCCACGAGCATGCCCCGTGGAAGAGCATGTCAAGTTTGGCCACAAATTGCCGCAGGGTTATAGGCTATAGGCGTAGAGGCAGCGCGCGCGCACCCTTTAGGGGTCGTGCCTGCTTGAGGGGGCGGGGGCCCCACTTGGCCGCTTGGACCGCTTGGAGCCTCATGGTTAAACCATGGCTGCAAGAGCCTTGACTGCAAGCGAAGCCTTACAGATCCTTACAGTGTTCCCTTGAGTTGTGCAAAGAGCGGACGGGTAAGAGTTCCGGTCGGCCAAGGCAAGGGGGAGCCTGAGCCTGAGGTGCGGCGGCCTGTCCTTGTAGCCTCTGATCGCCTCTGGAAAGTGCGTGTGCGTGCCCTTCTTGCAGGAGAGCGACGCCGCCCAGGGCCGACCGGAGGCGCATGCCGTCACATCTTTCTACGGAACTTTCCCCAGAGAGAAGAAGAGAAGACGTGTTATAGACGTGTCGCGGCGTTCCGTTCCGGAGAGGCCGGCTTCAAGGGCGCCAATGGCATCTTCATCGACTACATGTCCCGCAATGCACGCAGCAAGCACCCGATGCCCGGCGTCCAAGCCGGTTTCAACGGACCCTAAACACGTCTAAGAGCCCGAGCTTCGAGATCCCTTTCTTTCCTTCGAGGATGCGATGGCTCCTGGCAGACCAGACCTCCAGGCGAGGCCTTTCTTGGCCGGGGTGGGCCCTCCGGGGGTGGTCTCGGAGCTCTTGCGAGCTCGATCTTCCTCGAGCCTCAAAAGTGCAGGCAGAAGATCGCCCAGCAGGTCTCCAAGGGAGAGGCCCGCTTTTGCTCTTCTCACCCGACTCCTCCGTCTGGATGCCTGGCTTGGGGCTCAGCACTCGTCAGGTCGGCAAGAAGACGCTCCGGAGCTACAAGGCCGCCCTACCTAAGGGGACGGGGACCCCCTCCTTTTGTTGGAACAAGGGAAGGCGACTCCTCTAGCTAGCAGGGTGAAGAGAGGGCCCAAGGGTTTGCAGTCTCGGCTCGAGCCTGGGGGGTGCCGGGCACGGGCACGAGAGGCCAGCGACCAAGGCGACGGAGGCTCCTTTCACATCTCTCTTCTCTCAAAGGAGCATGGCCGGCTCTGGCAAGCATGGCAGCAGCTACTTCGAAGGCCTGTCCCGCCGCGGCCTCGGCTCGGCCGTGTCAAACGGGGCTCCTCTTGCCCCTTCCTGTTGCACGCGCAAGGTGGCGACACCCCACCGAAGGAGATCCCCACGCTGGGGGCCGCTGGCGGACGGCCCCGCGTCTCGGAGATGACCGAGAAGGACCCAATTGCAGGGAGCCATGAAGAGCCGAGCCGAGCAGCGCCCTTCCAAGAGAAGTGACAAAAGAGCCTTTTTTGTTGCTTCCTCCTCTTCCTCTTCTCCCTCTGAGCTCCTGAGCTCATCCTCCAGGAGCGGCAGAAGGACTGTCCCTATGCCCGTCCGGGGGCTTAGCGACTGCGTGGGCTGGGCCGGGCATGGCCGGGCTGCTGACTGCTGCGCCCAGGAGACCCGAACGCCAGGGTGCTCGCCAGGCATGAGTGCATGAGCCGCGCTCCTTGGCCGCGCTTCGCGATCGTAGCTGGCCGATGCTGGCTCCGAAACACCTGTTGAGGATGTGATCAACAAGTCGGACGTGCCGCCAGGACCGTCGGGAGCAAGTAGAGTTGCGAAAGATGTTGCGAAGAGGACGAAGAGCCCCCTGCAAGGCCCGGTGATGTTCAACAAAGACTACGACCGGTGTTTGGTCACGGAAGCGTTGAGCTCAGCCGTGCGAGGGTGTTACAGTATCTCTCAGAGGGTTCTCCACTGTCTCTGCAGGACTTGGAGCGTGCTCAGCCCGTGTTGTCGCACCCAACGAGCCAGACGGGCGGCTCGGTTTTGCACCTTTCTGATAAGACCCCCCCCCCGTGTCCAAGCTTGTTCCTGCGGAGCTTCGCGGAGCCAGGCATGCCCATCCCCTGGAAGTTCGTTTCGAAGCCCGAGCCGGAGCCGATCCCCAGGAGCAGCCCCTCGGCAGAGAAACCGACCCCGCGCGCCGTCTCTCACGCGCCCGCGCTGCGCGTCTCTGCCTGTCCCATAGAAGCCCTCATATAATTGCATCCCCAGTGCCCAGTGCCAGCCTTAAGGCTTTTCTTGGGTTCTCCTCTCTCGGGGCCGCTTCGTTCTGTGCTGTCAGGCCCCAAGGCGGTCTACCCTCCGCTCCGACGCCGAGTGCAGGAGGGGGGGGAGTCCGGAGGGGGGTCCCGCGACTTCGCTTCAGCCTCCGTGCTGTGCTCAGCGAAGAGAGAGGACTTGTCGCTGCGGACCTCCGACATCGACTATGCGCAGCCCAAGAAGCCGCCACTTGGGCAAGAAAGCAGGGCCAGAGACCTCTCTGACTGATCACTCCGAGACGAGACGCGCTCTCCGATGCACAGGACCATCCGCCCCAGGAAGCGGTCCACTTGCATTGTGGATCTGCTCACGACAAGCTATCAGCCCCTCGGATGCACCAAGTCTCCCGCACCCCCCCCCCCCCCCCCCAGGCCTCCCAGGCCATGGGGCGCATGGGCGTGGCTCATGCTTAAGCTCATGCTTGCTCCATCTGGCTGCGCTGCGCCAGGTTCGCCTCCTCCGAGGTCCCCCCGCAGCCTCCCTACAGGCCCGCCCGCTGCGTGATCCACTGCAGCTCCCAAGCGATCTCCGGAGGTCTTCCGGCCGCTGTGCCACGGACGTGAGCGACATCGACGGCTGCACTGTGCGGCCTCTGGTCCCCGCGCCTCAGCCGGAAAAGAAGGTGGTCGAGGTTCCTTCGCCTTCGTTCCTCTGCAATGGTTTCGAGTTTCGCCCTGGCTGCCGTGCCGAGGTCCGGCGGCACTATCGCAACTTGGCTTCAGCAAGCGGGCATGACCGGCGATGACTTGGTGTACTAGCCACATGATGTAGGCTTCAACTGCTCAGGTGATACCATGAAGGTTGAAGACGAATTCCGCAGCCGGCACAAGGCCGCGGGAAGAGCTGGGTAGCAGCTAGCGGCACCAGACGCACGCCCCAGCTTCGCTTCCTCGCTGTCCAGCTTCGGCGACCTCGGCCTCAGCAGGCGCAGTGATGTGCCAGACTCAGGGCTCTTGCCGAAACAGAGGCTCCGGCTAAGAAATTTCTGCTTCAGACTGCTCTCGCTCCAGGCCTGTAACCGCCGTAACCTTTCCGAGACATTCTGAGAGCAGACGCGTCTCGCGTCTCCGCTTTAGGACTGCCGGATCTCCCGAAGTGAGAACGGCTGTGGAAAGGGGCAGGTGCATGGTGGGAGTCCCGCGGTGCTCCGAGCCTCTTCCAAGATGGGAGATGCTCGGTCTGTGCACGCGCGGCAAAAGAACCGGTGCGTCTACTTCACAGTGCGCCACAGGCCCCAGAACAGGTCCGACCCGCCCTCCTGAAGCCTGAAGCCCTTCACAGGCCTTGCCTAGCAGCGCTCGTTCCGACTCATAGCCAGAAGACGTGAGAAGTTCCTTCGCGTGAGCGTGAGAAGATCGGCGTCCGTGTCCTTTCGCAGGATGCCAGGGATCTGGTGAACTTTGAGAGGCGCCGATTTCAACTTCGACTGAGGGCTTCGGGCTTCTTCGCACTGTCCTCTCATCGCCTCGGCTGGAGGCTGGAGTGGAATCTGATGGACTTGCTGACGAAGTTCTGGAAGTCAAAGAAACATCCTCTGTGGGTCCGCAGCTCTCATCTTGCGCACGACTGCACTGCACCCTTTAAAAGAATTCTGGTGATGGAGGTGACCCCGACAGATGCTCTACAACAGATCGTGCGACGCACCCCGTCTGCGGAGTCCACAAACTTCACATGTGCTGTATCAGGTTCGACATTGCAGGTATAGCTGATCGAATCTATAGACTCTAGTCACCATTCAGAGACTGGTGGCTTCATCGCGAGGAAGTCGAATCAGAGTTTGTTTGGTCAGGCATCTACATGCAGCACAGCATGGAGCTGCCAGCTCAGCTTTCGCCCTGCGATTCCCCCCAGTAAGCCACGCCAATGTCAAGTTAGAACATACCTTGCCGGTTTTCGGCTATCGGCACCACCCACCCCAAAAAGATAAGTATTTACCTTAAAAAATTATTGTATTCCCAATACTCGTATCTACCTAGGTGTCATAGCCCAAAATAGGCAAGGGGTTCCTGTTGAAATTGGGTTAAGGTTTGGGGTTAACGGTGGGGCTTTCGGCGAACCTGTGCACGTCGTTCTCCAGCCACGACACGCACACCGCCGAAGCTGTGCCCGCACAGGCGCATGACTCATGACTCGCGAGCCCTCGACAGGCCGGGGCTGCCGGAACGAGCAGAGCCGAGAGCCCGGGTCTGACTGGCAACGCCGAGCTGGCGTCGTCCACGTGCCGAGGGCTGCGCCGCGAACCGCGCGCTGCAGACGCTGCGCGGCCAACGAACCGAGCCCAGCCGCGGGCGCACTTCGCGCCCTTCGCGGGCGCACTCCGCAAGCAGTCGCAGCGACGTCTCCGACAGCCGCAGCCGCAGCAGACGACGTAGACAGGCTGCGTCGGATGAGTCGGATCGTGACCCCCCACGGCCAGACAGGGAATCCACTCGAGGACGCGCACGCACGCGCGCGCGCGCGCGTGACCTGCATGGCCGCCTCAGCTGCGTGCGCCGCGGGGGCAGGAAGGCACGCCTCGGCGCCTTCACGTTTGCAACACAACGAAGAGGAAGGAGCCTGACCATGTACCGAAAGAATTCTGAGGGGTGCCACGTGCAGGTGAGCCACTACGCTTTGCAACATTTTGCAACAACATCTCGCCCCATCATCACATTGTATCGGCTGCCTACAAACTCTTCGCCACACAGAAGGCCTCTCCGGGCAATTTACAGCGACAGGACTTTCACAGCCGGCGC